TAATTTGAGTATTGGAGGAACCCAACTGTTGTCTAGGTTTGGTAGCCTGGGCTGGTCTAGTTAAACATGTAGGCAGCATAGAAGGTGGCAGTGGTGGTCGGGGTGGGCAGGTGCTGCAGGGGGATTAGCCTGCACAGCTTTTGGGGTGAAGGAGATCTGGAAGTGGCCACCTTAGTTCCCTGCTACACTGGGGAGGTACCTGTGGACAGTGGAGCAGACAGCCATCCCGGGCAAAGTGGGGGTGGGGTGGCTCCACACTCCCAGAAGGGGTGATGCTGGGCTAAGGGCAGAAGGGACATGCCCCCCAGCCCTTAGTATTGTACTCTGACAGCAATGCAAAGGCCCTGGGGCGCCAGCTGCCACCTCTGCTACTGTATCACTGGGCTCCAGGGCTGCCCTCCGTCGGCAGGCCTGCTGTGGAAATGGGGCTGTGTGGGGTGAGTGCTGGCTGGAGTTAGGTTGCTCTTGAATTGGGCCTCTCCCCAGGAGCTGGGAACAAGCAGTGGCTCTGGAACACTGTATATAGTGGGGGGTACTGCGCTGTTGAACTAAACTGTATGCCCTGTATGTCATGGAAACCATATCAAACCAGTGGGTGCTGCTGCACCCCCAAACCCCTAGTTCCAGCATGCCTGGGAACAAGGTGTCCCAGCACTGCAGAGCGGTAACCTGAGCAAGGGCAAAAAGAGCAAAATGAAGCGTTTGCAACAGGACTGAAGGGGTGTAACACTAACTCTGCTTCAGCAGGGGGCGCCAGTAGCTTTCCATGGAAGGTAGCTGGATCTAATTGTAGCCAACCTTGTCTCTTCTATAGGATATTTATTTATTTATTTATTTTTAAAGAAAACCTATAGAGAGAATCTCTCTGTTCAAGTCTGTGGGGTTTTAGAGAGATTTCTGTATAGGACCCTGTTGGATTCATCCCTCTTACATCCCAAGAGTCTTGTCCATAAGGGGCATGTGGGCAGGCCAGTGAGGGCTCACAGTTGGACATTCTCACCGATTAACCTACTGACACTGATACTGCCTTTCTCCACTCTGCCCATTCCTCCTCCTGCCCTTCCCACAGTGTCTCCCTACTTGAAGTCTCTTTCCATGGTTGCTGCCAACAAGCTGCTGCACCTCCTGGAGGCCTTTTCCACCACCTGGTTCCTCTTCTCCACAGTCCAGAACCATCATCTCGTGTTCTTCCTGCTGGAAGTTTTCAATAACATCATCCAGTACCAGTTTGATGGTAAGTGGCTAAAAGTGAACTGATCCTGATTTTGTTCTGCTGTGTCAGCCCATAGCGCACGAGGAGGAATGTCAGAGAAAATGTGACTCAGCGATACAAAGTTGACTCTCCTTTGCCCAAGAAAGATGGCGCAGAAGCCAAGTAGCGGTACGCTTGTCTAGATTAGAGAAGTTTGCACTGATAGAGCTACTCTGGTGCCAAACCCTAATGTAGACGCACCATGCTGGTTCAAAATGGGGCTTGTGCTATTTACCAGTACAAAGAAAACACAGGTGTAGACAGGGCCAGAGATGGATGATAGGGTGAGGCAGGGGCCTTCCCTTGAAGTGTAAGATGGGTACAGTGAGTGGGGCTGTGTGGGAATACCCAGAAACATGCGAGTGTTGGAATCAAACTGCTTGAATTGTTCAGCTTTGTAGACAAGGGAAGAAAACAGCCTCATATTTTTTGTTGATTTTTTTTTTTTTAATGTGCCTACTACTTCTGCAGGCCCAGGTGTCTGGAATGTTCCTCACGTGGAGGAGAAACTCCTGATTGCTTGGAGGAGGTTGAATATTTACTGAATGAGTTCCAGTCCCTTCCACATGTCTCTAGATATCTTGTCCCCAGAGTATGATGGAATCATGCTGAAATGGAGTAGAATCTAATATCCTAGGGACTCCTGGACTTTCGTATTCAGAGCCAGTGCATTGATTTAAAAGATTTTTAAAAAATCTGGAAAAGAGAGCTCCATTTTTCTTAAAGGTGGCCTACAAGTGACTATTTTAACTGATGGAGTTGTGCCCTTGTGATGGGTAAAAACAGTCCAAAATGGGGGTGGGGTTGTAAGTATGTGGTTTTTTTTAAAGTCATATTTTATTTTACCCTTAGAAATATCAGGCATCTTGATTCTGGTCTTCCCTGGTGTTGTGGATTGTTTTTGGAGGTTACATGTTGTGAGTGCTTAATCGAAGAGGGAGGGATGAGGAGTCATGAACATAGACAACCGTTCTCCAGAATGTTAACTAGGCACTTGAATTAAATGGGTGTTAGCACAAAATAATTTTCAACAGTTTGACTTAAAATCCCTTCTTCTCTCAGGCTATGTCTAGACTGCAAGCCTCTTTCGAAAGAGAGCGTCTAGACTGCATGTGGAACTTTCGAAAAAGCAAGCCGCTTTTTCGAAAGAAAGCACCCAGTGAGTCTAGATGCTCTCTTTCGAAGAAGCCCTATTTACATTCAAGAACGCCTTCTTTCGAAAGAGCACTTTCGAAAGAAGGCGTTCTTCCTCGTGAAATGAGGTTTACTGCCGTCGAAAGAAAAGCCGCGTTCTTTCGATTTAATTTCGAAAGAACGCGGCTGCAGTCTAGACGCAGGTGAAGTTTTTTCGGAAAAAGGCTACTTTTTCCGAAAAAAACCCTGAGTCTGGACATAGCCTCAGAGTATGTATACACTGCATGCTTATTTCGAAATAAACTATTCTGGAATAATTATTCCAAAATAGCTTATTTTGAAATATCACGTCTACATTGCAGGGAAGCCTCAAAATTAGTTTGAGGCAGGCTTCCCTAATGTAGATGTGCTATCTCAATTTAGAACCTTGAGGCCCTGGGTAGGAATAACTTAGAATGGCCCTGGTAAGGGGCTATTTTGAAATAGCAGAAGTGGAGTATCTACATATGCCTTATTACAAAATAGCTGTTTTGGAGCAGGCACTATTCCTCGTAGAATGAGGTTTACAAATTTCAGAATAAGCTGTTCATTATTTCGAAATTATTTCAAAATAACGGAATGGCTGTATAGATGCTCACGGTGTTATTTCAAAATAACGCTAGTTATCTCGAAATAACAGTACAGTGTAGACGCACCCTCAGTTACTGAAATGTCCTTCCTTGGCTCTCCTGATGTCATCATTTCACTGGTTCTCCAATCTCCATAGTGAAGGTAAAGATTATATCAGGGTTATTTTTAGTAAAAGTCATAGACATGTCGCAGACAGTAAATAAAAATTCACAGAAACCTGTCTGTGACCTCTACTAAAAATAATGGAAAGGAGTCTGGGGAGAAAACTGAAGCCTGAGTCCCAGAGGGGAAGAGAACCTGAGCCGCACCACGGTAGTGTGGGTCCAGCACCCACTGCTACAGCTGCTGATGGCTCTAAGGTCTTTGCTGCAGCACCAGCAGCTGATAGCTCCGGGGTCCTCAAAGCGGCTCCAGCAGTTGATGGCTCTGGGGTCCCTGGTGCCTGCAGTGGCTCAGAACTCTGGGACTGATGGCTTGGAACTCCAGATGCTCCCCAGCCTGTAGTGGCTGGAAGCTGCAGATCCCCTCCCCCAGCCGATAGCTCTGACTTCACCACCCCAGGGCTGAAGTGGAAAATACCATGGAGGTTTCTGGAAGTCATGGTATCTATGAACTTCATGATCTAATCATATTCTTAAACATATCTCAGGCCCTTTTTATCCACTATTTATTTTACAGAGTTTGTCTGTTTGATCAAGAACTCCTCCTAAATTATAAGAGCTAGAGCCTTCAAATGTGATATATGTCTTCCTCTTACTATAACTTAGAGCAATGTAAGGGTTTGGCTGTGCCAGGAAAACAGGATGTGCCTGGGATTGCTTCTCATAAAACCAGAAAAGAGACAGAATCATCAAATCAAGTACAGTCCTCAAAATTGACATAACTGAACAAATGTTGAAAGCAACTAAACCAAGTTCCACCTATGTTTTTCTCAATGAACTTTACAGGAAAGAGATACAATGGAGATATTTGCAGTATTGCTGTTTTGGCACAGCTAAATCAGTGCTTAAGATTTGAAAACTAGAAGAAAATGTTATCGCAAAACACATTGTCTATAGCCCTTTTTTGGTAAAACATAGCAAATGAGAAGAGTTTATAGGGATGAAGTAAAAAAAAATACCTGATGGAATTCCCATTTAAAACATAAACTAAAATAAAATGGGCAAAGTTTAACAATCCTTTTTAAAAGAAATAAATATTAACTGAAATAAAAATTAACTTCATAAAAGTAACACTGTATTTTTGAAAAATACAACCATTTAAATAAACATTTCCTTTTATTTTCCAAATATACCCCAACTTTTAATTGAGTTAAGGATCTGAGCAACACAACGTAAATGTACTAGTCTGTCATAAAGAGCACAAGTCCAGTTTCCACTTTGTCCCCTTTATTGGTGGAGGTGAGGCTTTCTGAACTGCGAGGTTCCCTGTTAATACATGTTGGGTGCATCTAGACTGGCAAGATTTTGCGCAAAAGCAACCGATTTTGCGCAAAACTTGCCAGCTGTCAACACTGGCCGCTTGAATTTGCGCAAGAGCACTGACTTTGTAATGTACAAAATCAGTGCTTCTTGTGCAAATACTTTCACACTCCCGCTCAGGAAAAAGCCCTCTTGCGCAAGAATCGGAGCTTTCTTGCGCAAAATCGTGTCTAGACTGGCCACGGATGCTTTTGCGCAAAAGCACTTTTTGTGCAAAAGCATCCGTGCCAATCTAGACGTGCTTTTGCGGAAATACTTTAACGGAAAAGTTTTTCTGTTATTTCCACAAAGTCATGCCAGTCTAGACGCAGCCGTTGGGTTAATGTGTTCCCACTGGGATGCCCAGCTTCCTGGTGGTAGATCATGTTAGAGATCTGAGAACCTTCCCTCTCCATTCATTTTGTTTCTGTGATTCCTAGGGAATTCCAACCTGGTCTATGCCATTATCCGTAAGCGGAACGTGTTCCATCAGCTGGCCAACTTGCCCACGGATGCTCAGACTATCCAGAAAGCTCTGCAGCGCAAGAAGAAGACTCCAGAGCCCATTTCTCGCACCAACTCCCAGGATGGGCTCTCCATGGAAGGGTCCCGCCCTGCTGCTCCCGCTGAGCCAGGGACACTGAAGACCAGTTTGGTGGCAACTCCAGGTCAGCCTTAGTTTACCTTCAGAATGGGGTTGGGTGAGGAGGGAGCCTTCTCTACAAGATGTGTCCAGGACTCAGCCTTCTCCTGGCTTTTGGAAAAGTCTATGGGTTAGTCTATGGGAGTGAGATGCACCCGTGTAACAATATTGGTTTAAAAATAATTAATGTTAAACTGGCACAGAAAGCGGTGGGCACTCTTAGGATCAGAGTGGCTTGATGCAATTTAGTCTAAATCAGTTAGGAACTGGTTTAGCTCAACTGAAATGAGCCACTCTGAGTGAAGAGCCTCCCACGTAGCCTTTTGCCCCAGTTTATCTGTTTGGATTCAAGCCTGCTATTATGCCAGTGACTGTTGTTCCTATAGACATGATCATTCCTTGCTCTGTGGGGAGCAGGGTGGGAGTGGGGGTTATGGCAAAGGGAGAGAATTTCAGATGGAAACACAGGTGCAGGGAATTTGTTTCTGTAGGTCAGGCCACTTTAAAGCTCTTGCTTAGACTTTCTAACTCCCTCTGAATTCAGGCATTGACAAGCTTACAGAGAAATCACAGGTGTCGGAAGATGGGACCATGCGCTCCCTAGAGCCAGAGTCTTCCCAGTCTCCTTCAGAGGGTAGCCCGGCTGCTGTCGTTAGTGATACAGAGTCCTGGAGCGGGGTAAGGCCCTATGCTCCTCTCCTGCATGGAAAGGTCTGTAAAATGAAACCAAATGAGTGAAAGTCTATGAACCCCAAAGAATAGACCCTGATAAAGTCCATACAAGGATGGCCTTCATCCCGGGGTAAAGTGTATGGTCTGAAGGTGGGTTGAAAGGCAGTAGAATATAAAAGCTGCTAGCCTTGCCTTCTTTCCCCACAGGGCTTAACTGGGACTAGTTCCACTGTTTGTGCTAAGGAGATGCTTCATGCTCTGTGAATCACCCTCGTGCCGGACTCCCAGGCCTTTGTGACAGTGTCAGCCAGCTCCTTTCCCATCTAGAACCACCAAGCAGTACTATTCCAGTTCCAGCAGAGCCAGTCTGCTCTTTTATTGTATGCCATTAAATCTTTAGTTAGCCCTTTCTGTGAAGCACTCCAAACCCTGAGGCGCTTTCTCAGGGCACACCTCATGTGGTCATACGGGGTTTGTCCCTGATAGGGAAGGAAAGGCATGTTTATAGACTTGGCTCTACTCAAGCACTCATTCCTAGTGCCCCAGGAAAATCTCCTAATTTTTGGTACAAAATTTCATTTTATTTTTGGGGAATTTCTTGCTATTTCATTTTATCCCAGGGCTCTGCCCCCTGGCAGTGAGGTGCTGTGGGGGTTTGGGTTGCTGAGCAAACCATCCCGCACCCAGGTTGTAGTGGCAATTCCTCTCCTATGGGGCTGGGGCTGGCTCTCTACTCTCGGCGAGACCTCATAATGCCACATTACAGTGCCCAGAGCAGGGAGCTGGGCCCCTCCCAGCCCCATGAACAGGAGCGACAGGGTCCACTGCTGTGTAGCCTTTGTTTTATGCCATTTCAGTCATTTTTTCATTTTATTTTTGGTGGTTTGCATTTGAGAAAAGCATGATGTTCCTATCCTTTATTCACCACTGTGTTTTGCTTCCCTATGAACATTGCACCTCCAGCCACTAGAGGGCAAAACTATCTTTGCACAATGTGTGACTTTTTCCCAGCAACTGGGTTCCCTCAGCCTTGTTTAGTCAAACCCATCTGTATAAGCTCAACCCATGTAGAACAGAAGTGGGCAGGGGGCAGTGGGTTGGCATATGCTAGAACCTGCCTAGAGTGAACCTGGGTAAAGTAAAACTCCATCCACAGTGAAAGTAGATTTTCATACCTAGGAGCCCTAGTCACAAACCAGTAGCCCTGGATTGCCTTGGGGCATTGTGATACGCAGATTATTTCACACACAGGCAACCTCTGCTTACAGCTGTCCTGGAAAAACTGACTTCACTATAAGAATCTTAGACTGCTTTCAGTAACATTTGAGATGAACCAGAGTTGCAGAATTTGCATCCAGGTTTCAGCCTCCTCCTTGAAAGCTGGCAGAGATTCCAAGAGCTGGTCCCTGAAGAACTTTTCTGGGGAGACCCAGGCTGATCTCCGCTCTCCTTTAAAACAAATCCAGTTTCTTCCCTTTTCCCTTGGGAAGATGTCTGGGAAATGTAAACTGCTTTCTCGGTCTGAAAGTTTGTTCCTGATTTTCCTTCATGATCCCTGGTTATTCATGGCCTATGTCCCCTCATCCCCATGGCTGCCTAGGACAGGATTTTGAGACATGTGAAACCTTCCAACATGGGCTCCTTGCTAGTTGCACAGGATTGAGTCCAATATGTGACCATCATGGGGTGCTGTGGCTAGGCTGCTTCTTATGTGCACTTGGGCTGCTGCAAAATCCGTTTCTATTGCTTGCTGGCTGCCTGCAGCTGAACAACTGCTATAGCACTGTAGATTTAGCAGTTCAAAGACACTGTGGTGGGCTAATGTGCTGAGCAAGGGACCCCCCCATCTCCTCTAATGACCGTGTCTGTGGCATTAGCTATATACATGCTTCGAGTCTGAGCACGTGGCTCAAAGGCAGGATTGGGGCATGAAGCCCAATCTTGAAGCCATCTACAGAGGCAAGCAACTACGTGCATGAGTCCAACAGGGCTATTTGCATCCTTAAGTGTTTGTAGAACTGGGGCAAATAGTAGACTTGATGGGATGAGCAGCCAAACCTAGGGAGTGGTGGGGTGAGAAAGGGTCGGAATTATAATAGTGTAGTCACATGGTGACTCAGTTTAGGCATGTTCCCCCTCCATGAATCCACGTTGATCCAGTTGGTTCAAACCATCTAAACAAAGTCAGCAGGGAACGCTTGAGTGCATCATGTCCTTTTTCTAAACTGGCTGTTTCCACACTCTTCCCGCTCGTAAGACCCTTAGCCCAGTAGCATGATGTTCAGTCTCCTTCCCACGCTGAGTTAAAATGCTCTGCAGAGCCAATTGCAGTGATTCCTTATCAGTGGGAACCATCTCGAAAGCATCTTTGTTTAACATATTGCAGCATAATTCCATCCAATGTCCCCTAAATATGTCAGCAGTGAGCCTGACGCAAAGTGGTGGCGGGGAGGGGGAAGGGCTATAGGGGAAAGAGGAGGAGGAAGGGGGCCAGGGCTGGTCTGCTAAAGCAAGTATTTTTAGGAATGTATTTTTAGAAGCTTGATTGAAAGAGGGTGCTGACACTGAGCCATAAAGATGTTCTAACTGCAAACATTGTGAAACCACCTTATCATTCAGATGTTAAATAGACCAGAATAAATACATTTCTGAGAACTGAGATCCCCACCTTGTTTTCCTGATCCTCCCCATGCTCTCATAATGCTGGCTTTGGCCCTGGGTCACCAGGTTAGTTAAATACCTGTCTTTAAGCACAGGACTAGCTCCATCAAAGACAGCTTAAGTAGCTTGCAGAATCAAGGCCTTCATTCTCTAGGGTTCTGAGGAATTAGCTGCGCGCATAGTCAGACTTAACTGGAGGATCAGTGACATTCCAATGCCCGGCTGACCTGCCTGTCAACTCATGCAGGGATGGCTGATGCCTCTGTGAGCAGAGAGGGAGACAGTGACCTCAGGAATTGAGAACTGGTCCCAATAAACTCGTTGAGGGGGTGTTTATGCTAACCCCTAGAAATGACAATATAAAAGTGATTTGCAAAGGAAAATCAGACTCCTTTTTACCCTGTCCAAAGAAGGCCTGAAATAATTTTATAAAAAGGGTATTTGTCCAGCATTTTGCAATAGATATTCAAATCTAGTCTTCTAGGAAAACATGGCAGATGCGGAGTGACTAGAGAACTGGGAGGATTATGATAGCATTAGTCTCAAGGGAGTAAAACCAGTGTAGTTGAGAGGGGAAGAGGTTTGTTTAAGAACTATTTAAGAACATAAGACTATTTAAGAACATAAGAACGGCCATATGGGGTCAGACCAATGGTCCATCCAGCCCAATATCCTGTCTGCTGATAGTGGCCAATACCAGATGCCCCAGAGGGAGGGAACACAACAGGTAAACTTCACGTGATCCCTCCCCTGTCTCCCACTTCCAGGAAAACAGAGGCTAAGGCCACCATTCTTACCCTTCCTGACTCATAGCCATTGATGGACCTAACCTCCATGAACCTTTCTAGCTCCTTTTTTAACTCTGTTAAAGCCCTAGCCTTCACCGCATCCTCTGGCCAAGAGTTCCAGAGGTTGACTGTGACTTGGCCAAGGCTCTCAAAAGAGACCAGTGATTTTGAATCTGTATTTTGGTTTCTCTCCTAAGACACCCAGTCTCAGAAAAATGGATCCTATTAAGGTGTCGCAAGTTGGTCACCAAAAATGGCGTCATCCCTCTTTTTTGTTTTAATCCATGTGTGACTCAAACCTTCTTTCCATATCAGAGAGAAGCAAAAACCAGGCCCATACTCATTTTCCCCCCTCATGTAAGTTCCCTTAACTAGTTGCCACTTCCTCACACAGTTTGACCCCTACTAAACCCAGGCCATTTCGCAGTTAAAGGCTAGTGCATTAGACCCAACAGTGGGCAATGAAATGCTAGTGTTGATACCTTTTCTCTGGGGACCTGGCCAGCTGCTTTGCATAGTGATTCCCAGCTAGGCCCATACTCATTTTCCCCCCTCATGTAAGTTCCCTTAACTAGTTGCCACTTCCTCACACAGTTTGACCCCTACTAAACCCAGGCCATTTCGCAGTTAAAGGCTAGTGCATTAGACCCAACAGTGGGCAATGAAATGCTAGTGTTGATACCTTTTCTCTGGGGACCTGGCCAGCTGCTTTGCATAGTGATTCCCAGCT